AAAAAAAAAAAAAAAAAAAAAAAAGAAAAGGAGAAAACCTACATGAAAACTCCTAGTACAGTACCTGGCACAGAGGGATACAAACAAATAAAGGTTATTTAACTTTCTGGGGAAACATTTGAGGCCTCTGAGAGATATCCAGTGTGGGCGGGAGCTTGGCTTCTCTGGAAGTGAACACCGCAGGAGCTCTCTGAACTTACCCCACTGTGAGTCATTCTCCATATAGCAACCAAAGTGAGCCTTTATAGATGTGGATCTGATGTATCATTTTCCTCTCTCCCCTAGCCCCCACAGCATCCTTTCACACTTAGAATAAAGTCCAAAGTCCTGATCGTGCCTTGCCCACTGGCCCCGCATGCTCTGGGTTGCCTGGCTGTTCCTCAACCTCATCTGCCGCTGTTCTCTGTCCGGGCACACTGGCACCCTGCAGGTCCCGGAAAACGCTGCCAGTCACCCCTTAGGGCCTGTGTATCTGTCCTTCCTGCCATCTGGAAAGAGCTTCCTCAGGCCCAGATATCCTCAAAGAGCCAAATTTCTCTGCTCAAACTTCACCTCTTCAGAGGGCCTTTCTCCTCTGATGGCTTCCCCACCTAAAATAGCTTTCAATTCCTTTCCACTCCCACTGCTTGTGTTTGTTCACAGAACTTATCACTACTTGGCCGGGCGTGGTAGCTCACACCTGTAATCCTAGCACTTTGGGAGGCTGAGGTGGGTGGATCACCTGAGGTCAGGGGTTTGAGACCAGCCTGGCCAACATGGTGAAACCACGTCTCTACTAAAAATACAAAAATTAGCTGGGTGTGGTGACAGCGTATAATCCCAGCTACTCGGGGGGCTGAGACAGGAGAATCGCTTGAACCTGGGAGGCAGCGGTTGCAGTGAGCCGAGACCAAGTCACTGCACGCCAGCCTGGGTGACAGAGAAAGACTCTGTCTCGAAAAAAAAAAAACCAAAAAACTTATCACTACTTAAGAGAGCGCAGGAGTTCCCCCTTACCCTTGAGGGGCACATCCCAAGACCTCCAGTGTACGCCTGAAGCCACTGAACTCTACATATACTATGTTTTTTCCTGCATGTATGTATATACCTGTGATGAAGTTTAATGTATAAATTGCTCATAGTAAGATATTAAAAATAACTAATGATAAAAAAATTATAACACTGTAACAAAAGTGATGTGCGTATGATCTCTCTCTCAGAAACTCTAATTGTACTTACTCACCTGTGTTTGCACCAACCATGAAAAGTGAAACAGTGAATAAGGTGAGGGGTACTGTATTATCATTTAATGTGTGTGACACCATGAATAAGGTGGGGGGGTAGTGTATCATCATATAACATGCTGTGAAATTGTGAATTAGGTGAGGGGTGCTTTGTCATTTAATGTGTGTGAGATCGGGAATAAGGTGTGCGGGGTGCTGTGTCATCGTTTAACGTGTGTGAGATCGGGAATAAGGTGAGGGGTGCTGTGTCATCGTTTAACGTGTGTGAGATCGGGAATAAGGTGTGTGGGGTGCTGTGTCATCATTTGATGCGTTATTGTCCTCTCCCTCTTCTAGAATGTAAGCTCCATGAGGGTAAGAACTATTAGTTTGAAAAATTATGGGCCCCCAGTGCCTAATACAGGCTTGGCACCTAGCAGGCACTAACTACATTTTAGCAGAATGGATGTAGATTCCCAGAGTATGGAATAAACTGCACTATCAGCAGCAACTCTGTCAAAAAGCCACTAAATCTTTATTGCTGCCAGTCATGATCGCTGACATAATCCAGTCCAGCCTCCTTTATGAGCAGGTGGGGAAACCACAGCACACAGAGGCATGGCAAAGTCCCTCAAAATCACACTGCTGGCTGCTTTCTGTCTGTTCCTTCAAAGCAGCATTGGCTGGGCTCATGGCTCATGCCTGTTATTCCAGCACGGTGGGAGGCTGAGGCGGGCAGATTGCCTGAGGTCAGGAGTTCGAGACCAGTCTCGCCAACTGGTCTCTACTAAAAATACAAAAATACAAAATACAAAAATTAGCTGGGTGTGGTGGCGCACGCCTGTAATCCCAGCTACTTGGGAGGCTGAGGTAGGAGAATCGCTTGAACCTGGGAGGCAGAGGTTGCTGTGAGCTGAGATCATGCCACTGCACTAGAGCCTGGGAGACGAAGCAAGGCTCTGTCTAAAAAAAAAAAAAAAGCAGCATCAAACATGAGCAGATTCAACGGGATGAACAGTGAGCTAACCAGAAACAGCGTCATTGCTGGTAGAGTGGGCATTCTGTACATACTGACCTGGATCTGAGACAGTCAGATAGGCTCCCACTTCACTGATATAATAGGATTTTTCATCCTGTAAAACAGCAGGGGGTTAACCTTTGGGTAATCTCTACTCATATGTTTACAGTCTTGGTTTACAAACTTTGTTCAGGATTGCAGCTGTTAAATCTAGATATAAGGGCTTGGGAGGTACTTGGTACTGGGTCATAATTGAAAATTATGAAAATTCCAAAAAAGTAAACATACCACAAAATAAATATATAATAACAAACAGTTTTCCCCTGGCCCCCAATTCCCCTACTGCATACTGGTTGCTAGGGCCTGATATTCAAATTCCACCAGTACAATTTGAGTCCCTTCAGCTGGGCCAAACTTCTCCCTGTTAAAATGTAAGTCGATTGGGAAGGTGGAGGAGCAGGAGGAGCCTATATTAAGCTTTTACTAGCAATACTACCTAAGGGTAGGAATTCTTATCCTGAGGCCACTCATCCTTTCATTTTTAAGGCCATCCGTCTGGCTTAGAAGGCTCGTCCTTAAGAATACCATGAGTGGACCTCACAGGGTCCGTAACCCCTCTGGGAAAAATAATGTATACAAAATGGTGTGTTTTTGCTCCTATGTAGGGTGTCAGTGGCTTTAAACAGATTAATGGGTCTATATCTTCAAAATGGCTAAATGGGGTCACTGAAAAGGATTATGGGAAGAAATGCCTTACCCTGAGAAGCCTGGGTATTCTCTAGAAGAGATCCCCAAGTGGTTGTATTTAAACACAAAGCAGGGCCGGGCGCGGTGGCTCACGCCTGTAATCCCAGCACTTTGGGAGGCTGAGGCGGATGGATCACGAGGTCAAGAGATCGAGACCATCCTGGTCAACATGGTGAAACCCCGTCTCTACTAAAAATACAAAAAATTAGCTGGGCATGGTGGCACGTGCCTGTAATCCTAGCTACTCAGGAGGCTGAGGCAGGAGAATTGCCCGAACCCAGGAGGCGGAGGTTGCGGTGAGCCGAGATCGCGCCATTGCACTCCAGCCTGGGTAACAAGAGTGAAACTCCGACTCAAAAAACAACAACAACAACAAAAAAACACAAAGCAGCGCCTGCACATTTCATCTAGGAGTTATCTTCCCATAAAAACAAAAACAAACTACAAAACAGCCCTATAAAACCAATGGGAATGAAACCTTCAAGGGAACTGATTTGGGGTATAGGAGGGTAAGCTGAAAAGGGAGTTTCTATTTTTTAATTGAGGTGATCCACAGTGTTTTAAACATTCATTAGAAAACTATGTACGAGTTAGAGGTACAAAAATGACAAAGCAACCCAAATCAGAACCTGAAACTGAGTTACTTCTAGAAGTTTCAAATCTAGTCATTAGAGAAACTTAACAATACTAATCTTGACCACATTAGAGTTCATTTGTGTATGATTAGTGGATAAAATGTTGATTCATTACACAATCAAAGGGTTCCATAAATACCAACTGTTGTAGTAAGGTCACTGACACCAACGCACTGAGCTCTAGATCCTACAATTCCTTGAACTGCACCTACCACACACCAGCTTCTTACCCTGTGTTGGGTGCTGTCTCAGGCACTTCCATGCACTTGCCTTATTTAAATCTCACCATAACCATGAGAGAAAATGAGGCTGGGTGACTTGCTCCAGGTCATAGCTCTAAAAGGTGGCAGGGGAAGAGAGGACCTCCAGTTCTGCCTGCCTCTGAGTCCAGCCTTTAACAGCTCTTTCATACCCACCCCATGCCAGGCATTGCTCTAGGTCCTGGGAGAGGACCTGCTTGCCTCCTTCAAGGTGCTCAGTCTCTTGGGTCTTGAAGGCAAGTTGAACGATGCCCTTGGACCTCCATTTACTTTATGGAGAAACCTCTTTCAGATACCATCTTTGTGTTGCTTTTACATACCATTTATTAAGGGCATTTTTAAATTTTTATTTGGAGCCTCTTTTAATAGAAGAGACACTTATACTTCAGGGTCCACAGTCAGGGTTACAAGAACCCCTCCCCATCCCTAAGGGCAAGGAGGACCCATTGAAGCGTTTTAAGCAGGGCAGGGACATAGTGCAGCTTTGTTTTTGGAAATGGCTCAGGCTACACTGTGAGACTGATTTGAGGAGCGCCGGAACACTGATGAGGTCAGCTGACTCCTCAGAGACCTCTTGGAATCTTCCCTTCCCTTTGGTATCTCCCTGACCTGTCCCACTGAAGGAAAAACATGACTGGCATTTCTGTGAGGGTTTCACAATTCGCCATGTGCGTGCTTTCACTGACATTGGCTCATTTGATCCTTACAACAACCCCGACACAGATACAGTATTATCAGACCATTTTACAGCTAGAACAAAGAGACTCAGAGAGTTAAAGTATCTATCTCAGATGCACACAGTCTGTAGGTGAGACAAAGCAAGAGCCTGCCCTACATCTTCCTCCACGGGACGCATGGGTATAGAACAAAAATTCTTTATGTGAGAATTTCCTCTCACATTCCCTGAAATGCAGCTGAAGCCTACAGCCACTGATGGGAAGCAGGACCGGCTACAGGATGAATTTCTGGGGCTTAGAGCAGAATGAAAGTGCAGGCCACTTGTTCAAAATCAAGAAGCTCATCTGGCAATAGCAAAGCATGACAACCAGCATGAGCCCTTGCGAACGCGCAGGCTGAACACCCATGAACAGTCCCTGACAGGCAGGGCCACTGCTGTCCCACAGGAATCTCGGCTTTCTGGGGCTAATCCAACAGTGAGGCGATGTAGGGCATGTTGGGAGCCAGATGTATGGCTGAGTGCTCCACAGGGTCGTGGGGTGAGCCTTATGCTGTGCTGAGGCACAGGATCTGAGAAATAAAGAGACAGGACACAGAAGTACAAAGAAAATGCAGCTGGGCCTGGGGGGGCCACGCCACCTATAACTGGAGTCAGGTGAGGCCGGTGAGGCAAGGCGAGGTGAGGCCCCGAATGTCCAGAAGCCCGAGTATTTATTGTGTATAGGTTAGGGGGCAGGGCAGTGAGTGAAATGATCTTTAAGGATAGTGATAGGGTCGTGAGCAATAAAACATAGGGCCCACCCCATTAGGTCACCTAGGCCAGGAGGTGGACAGCGTGCAGCAAGGGCCCCGTTCCCACGAAGGCAAGGGCCGTGTGCAGTAAGGGGTCCACCCCCATTAGGTCACCGAGGCTTGAAGGTGGGCTGTGCGCAGTGAAGAGGGTGCAGTGTGCGATACTTCTATCTACAGGAAACTACTTCTAAGAAGATTTATGGGAGGATGCCTTAAGTCACATAGCAGTGACAGAGCTGTCAAGGTTACTGCCACCTTCTGGCAGCTTCAAATGGGTTCTATGGGAAGATGCTTTTCAAGCAGCACAGTAGCAAGAGCTGATAAAGTTCACAGTCACCAAGGTGGATTGCCAGTCTGAGGGCAGACTTCCACAAGAACTGGAGCAAGGTCCTACAACTCCTCTATCAGGAGGAGTGGCTCTCGCCCCAAGCCTGCCATAGAGCGGGTATCTTTACGATACTGAACACTGCCGCCTGGGCCATGGATCCTTGTCCTGGTATAACTGTTTTTCCCTTAAATCATGCTCTGCACTGTGTCTGTTCTAGGCATTCCTCCGATTATAAGCTGCTTATTCCTTAATTCATGCTCTGTACTGTGTCCACTCTAGGCATTCCTCCGATTATGAACTAAGATATAATTATAGGTATATATGTAGGGAAATGTTCTTTAGGCACTCATACTATCAACTATTATATGATTACATATAGAGGATTATATAAAGGGAGTCTTCAAGCCCTATTTCTATAAACTAATATATGATTATGTAAAGGATTATATAAAAGGAAATAGCTGAGTAGTAACACTATGAAGTGAGATATTCCTCAAGCCCTAACTGTGCCAGGGCTCTGCTTAGCTCTCATTCCTCGGTGCCTATAAGGGGGGTTACCCACAAGGCCTTCCACAAGCAGAGTGTGCACAGTCACGGCTGGTTTGTCTTACTGACACGCAGGATGGAGTCTGGAGCCTGTACTCAGATTTCTTTCCATTTTGGCTGAGTCAAAATTAGTCAAACGCTGACTAAAACTAAGCTGATGTCTAGCTTTTTTCTTTATTGAGTCGGAGTTTCCCTCTGTCACCCAGGTTGGTGTGCAGTGGCAAGATCTGCTCACTGCAGACTCAACCTGCCGGGCTCACGTGATCCTCCTGCGTGAGCCTCCCAGGCAGCTGGGACTATAGGCATACACAGCCAGCGAATTTTTAAACAAAGTTTTTTATAGAGATGGAGTCTCACTATGATGCCCAGACTAGTCTTGAACTCCTGGCCTCAAGAGATCCTCTCTGCTTGGCCTCTCCAAGTACTGGGATTACAAGGAATAAGGCTTCAGGTATGAGCTGCTATGTCCAGCCATGATGTCTATCTTCAGGGTAAAGGAAAAGTATCTGTTAGGCGGATTGGTGTAAACAAAAAGGCGGGGGATATTTAGTTTTCTCAAGATTCCAGGTTTGACCTGACATTATCATACGTCAGTTGCCCCACACGTTCTTTCTGAATCACCCTTTCCATCTGGCATTCATGGTGTAGGGTATACCGTCTTGTCTCACCACCATTCAAGACAGACATGGCTTCTGTTCACAAGTCCCTATTAAATGTTTCTTTCCCAGAAAAAAAAAAAGATTCCAAGTTTTATGTAACTTATGCTATGGAATGAGTCTTAGTTAGACAATTGTGCCACTTTGCTCCATAGAGCTGACGTGTTACAGGATGATCTTAAAGGAAATGGAATCGCCTTTGGTGAACTTTTTCTGTAAATATTTTGGGCTCTGTGGTCCTTTGTTAATCTGTCGAGGGACCTTAACATCCTCCTTAGCAAAACCGAGGGTCCACCAACATGTCTGCCTTCGTACCAGCCAACTCATCCTGCCCAGGACGCCAGCATGCCAATGACGTGGGATCCTAAGCTCCCCCCATCCACTTCTGCAAAACACACCATGGAAGTTTCAGAGTCCCAGATGTTCAGGATGTGAATTTTGTCTTCAGCATCAATCACGCCTTTTTTGCTCAACATTGTACTAAATCAGGAAAGGTATTTGGCCCTTAGTGGGGTCAGGAGAGGTGGATTTCCTTTCTTTTTTCCCTCAGTTTCTTTTTTTCTTTTCTTTCTTTCTTTTTTTTTTTTTTGAGTTGGAGTCTCCCTCTGTAGCCCAGGCTGGAGTGCAGTGGCGAGATCTCAGCTCACTGCAACCTCCACCTGCCTGGTCCCAGTTCAAGCAATTCTCCTGCCTCAGCTTCCCAAGTAGCTCGGATTACAGGCACGAGCCACCATGCCCAGCTAATTTTTGTATTTTTAGTAGAGACAGGATTTCACTATGTTGGCCAGTCTGGTCTTGAACTTCTGACCTCATGATCCACCTGCCTCAACTTCCCAAAGTGCTGGGATTACAGGTGTGAGCCACCGCGCCCGGCCTCAGTTTCATTTTTTAGAGAACTGAAAACATTTCCCTGTCAGTGTCTCCTTTGGTGAGGGGGACATGCTGAAAGCTGTTGGGACCCTTCAAGTTCAAGATAACATTCATGTCTCCCCCCACCTCCCTGGGACATCCGTCCAGGTGGGATAGTTGCTTTTAACACATCCTTCCGTAAGTGTGGCCTGTGCTCAGCACCACCCCTTTCTCCTCCACCCCTTTGGCAGCTTTAGGTCTCCAGCCCTGGCTCGCGACATAGGGAAATCAACCATCACGAGGGGCGACGTGCCAGGGTCGGGCAGGGCACTGGCCAGCTGAGGTCTTGGAATCAATGCTGCACACCCACATGGTGTTTCCCCAGAGCTTTGCTTTTTTTTTTTTTTTTTTTTGAGCCAGGCCCTGCCTCTATCACCCAGGCTGAAGTGTGGTGGCACGATCATAGCTCACTGCAGCCTCGACCTCCTGGACTAAGTGATCCTCCCACAGTAGATGGGACTACAAGCACACGCCATCGTGCCCAGCTAATTTTTGTGTTTTTTGTAGAGATGGGTTTTCATCTGTTGCTCAGACTGGTCTCCAGAGCCCTTGAGGGGCGTTTGGAACTCCCTTGGCCTATGGGCTAGGCTTCTGAGGACCGTGACCAGTGTTCAAGTGTTAACACCCTCAGAGCCCATCACTTAGAACCCCCCAGTCATCTGTGCTTCCCATGCCCTGTTTCCCCGGTACTTTTCCCTCTGCCTGGAAGGCCCCTCCCGCCCCTCAGCCCTGTTGGCATTCATCCTCAAAATAACTCAAATATCATCACCCTGTAAAGTTCCCCCTTCCCCACCTCCACGTCAGGTAAAATGAGAGACTTCCTCCTCTTAGTTCCCTGGTGCCCTTTGTTCATTGTTCCTCAACATTCGTCAATGCACTTGCCACATATCTTGCCATCCCCAAGGCAAAGTCTACGGCTCATTCACACCGTTCTCTGGTGCCCACCCCGACTCGGTGTATAGTATATCTTTAGCAAACGTCTGATGAACAAATGAATCCATGAAGGAGAAAATCTACATTTTGCAGAGAACTCTGGGTCAGAGTGCCAAAAAGTAGATCACAGGTTCCTTTTGCTGTGTCCAGAACAAAGCTTTACGCACTTAGCTCAGCACACTCTTAGGACAGCTCAGCAAAGTAAGTACTCATTGGCCCTGTCTTATAGAAGAGGGACTGAGGCTCAGAGATCACGAGCAGCCTGTCCATGGCCACAAAGCAAATGCGAGGGATAATTTGTCTTAATTGAACAACAAGGAAAAGGGACTGATTTCGTGTTGTTGTCATTGGTAGTATTTCGATTAAAAAAACTACAAATTGGGCCGGGTCCGGTGGCTCATGCCTGTAATCCCAGCACTTTGGGAGGCCGAGGTAGGTGGATCACTTGAGGTCATGAATTTGAGACCAGCCTGGCCAACATGGTGAAACCGTGTCTCTGCTAAGAAACACTAAAATTAGCTGGGCGTGGTGGCACTTGCTTGTAATCTCAGCTACTTGGGAAGCTGAGGCAGGAGAATCTCTAGAATCGGGGAGGCAGAGGTTGCAGCGAGCTGAGATCATGCCATTGCATTCCACCCTCAGCAACAAGAGCGAAACCCCATCTCAAAAACAAAAAACTGCAAATTGAAAGCTGGAACAATAGCCTATATTTGTTATTTTTCTTTGACAGCCAAGCTCATTGTTAGGGACAAGGTTGGTTAAATTCTCACTAATAAACGGGTTGATAAATCAGGCCTGATCAACATCCATTTATCATTCTACAACTTGGCTCTCATCACATCGATTATATCATCATAAATAAACTCGTATTTTCTAAGGTTCTATTTTTCTCCAGAGCCATGGTTTTCAACCGCAGCTGATGTGTGCCCTCCAGGAGACATCTGACGATGTCTGCAGACATTCGGAGTTGTCAGACTGGGGTGGGCAGTTGCTCCCGGCATCTGCCGGGACGGAAACCAGCAATGAGGCTAAACAGCTTTCAGGGCACAAGGCAGTCCCCACGCAAAGACTTATCTGGCCTCAAATGTTAATGCTGTCGCTGGGGAGAGGTGCTGGCTGAGAAAGCAGCAACATCAAGAAACAGAAGAAAGTAACAAAAAGAGAGGTTGAAAGTGTCAAAGACATCTGTTTGCAGGTCTGCCTCAGGCCCGGCAGCAGCTGCCCTTGTGTGCTGAAGTGTGTGGATGCCTCCCATTAGGCATAGTCACATGGGCAGTGGGCAGCGGCCTGGGTGGAACCGAGCCCTGAACCAAAGCATAATGCCAGTGTCGGTATCCTCTGCTATTTTGCCAAAGTGACTTTTTTGTTTGTTTTGGAGAGCAGTAGTGCAATCATTGCTCACTGCAGCCTTGACCTCCTGGGCTCAAGCAGTTCTCCCACCTCAGCCTCCTGAGTAGGGCTACGAGCATGTGCTACCACACCCGGCTAATTTTATAATTTTATTTTTTTTCTTTGGTAGAGACAGGGTCTTGATATATTTCCCAGGCTGGTCTTAAACTCCTGGCCTCAAGTGATTCTCACACCACTGTATCCAGCCCAGTGACTTTTAAAGAAATTCTTGGGCTGGGTGCAATGGCTCATGCCTGTAATCCCAACACTTTGGGAGGCCAAGGCGGGTGGATCACTTGAGGTCGGGAGTTCAAGACCAGCCTGACCAACATGATGAAACCCCATTTCTACTAAAAATATAAAATTAGCCGGGTGTGGTAGTTCACGCCTGTAATCTCAGCTACTTGGGAGGCTGAGGCAGGAGAATCGCTTGAAGCTGGGAGGCAGAGTTTGCAGTGAGCCGAGATCGTGCCATTGCACTCCAGCCTGAGCAACAAGAGCAAAACGCCATCTCAAAAAAAAAAAAAAAAAAAAAAATTCTTGTCCTCTCTGTAGTTTAACTTCAATTTCCCAGGGATAGGGCACTCATTCCACCCTGAATGTCTTCCCCATTTGGTCTTAGGGGTTACATATGAAGGATTGTGTCCTTCTCACTTGGTCCCAAAAAGAAACCACTGATTTCTCAAATGCAAATTCTACCTTAGTATGCACCATGAGAATAAAGCCTTTGAGACCAAGTTAATAATGACAACAATCAGAACCACCACCCTTCAATGAACGTTGTTATATGCTATGCTAGAAAGTTTACATACCCCGTTCTAATCCTCCCAAAGGCCTTACTAAGTAGATGTAATTATTTCCATCTTACAGACTGGGAAACAAGCCACAGCTCCCCTGAGATCCTGCAGCTGATCCCAGCTGCAAGGGGCCTCTCAGTGCCTCCTGCCAGCCCTTCCTGGGGCTATTTGAAGGACACTCTGGGGCAAGCAGAGGTAAGTCTCTCCCTAGGGAGTGGGATGACCAGCCCAGCCCCCTCTGGTCTCCAAGACATTTGCCCGTTTCAATCACTGCAACTGCAGCTGTGCCTCTTGAGTACCCACCACTTCCCATGTACGGGGCATGCTCTTTACAGAGGCGAACTTGAAGTCCTTTCCTCCATTTTTCAAATGCTAAAATAAAGCCCAGACAGGTGAAGCTGCCTGTGCAATATGACAAGGAGAGCAAGCGACAGAGCCAAATCCACAGTGAGACTCTCTGACCTCAGTCTCTGTCCACGTTGCTTCACTGTCCGCCCCTTCCAGGGTATGGTCTGGGAAACTCAGTGCCTGGTCCAGCCCTGAATTCTGCCTGCTGTGGTTGGAAAGAACCTGTTCTGACATTTGATTTTGGCTTTTGAATAACCCTGTTCCTCTGGTGTCCTCTGGGAATTTCTGCAGGTTTATTCATCTGCACCACTTCCTCCTTCGGCTGGTTTGCAAAGGGCATGGGTGCTTAAGTTCCCCAGAGGCCAAGTCTCCCCTAAGAGACCCTGAAGCCCTTCTTGGGCTGCACGGAAGGAGCTGAAGGGGGAAGAAGGCAAATACAAGATGTTGACACTTCCTCCTCTCCATCCCCAAGAGCCTCACTCTTATCAACAAAGACCTCAAACTGAAGTGTGAGGTTGCACCCCCGGGCCCCAGGATGAGGGAGAGGGAAAGCTACGCTGGATGCCGTTTGTGCAAAGGAACTCAGGCCTCACCTTGGTAAATGTGAAATTCACAAATCCGCCCTGAAAATTCAACAGAAGGTTGGATTTTCGGGTGCCACAGTTCCCAGAGGCTTGGGTTGCGTTGGGGTCGATGTTGAAGTATCTCCGAGGCGAAAAAACCTAAACCAAGTGAGACAGATCAGCTAAGTGAGAGGTAGAAGAAAACTCTAGCTAGAGAACCAGAAGCACAGGCTAGTACATGAGCCTGGAACTTACAGCTGAGTATTCACTGGAGAACTGCAGAGTCCCCAGACAACACCTCTCATTTCCAAACTGTTCTGTTGGAAAGCTTTCTTAAAGAGGAGTTCTCACTGGGCATGGTGGCTCATGCCTGTAATCCCAGCACTTGGGGAGGCTGAGGTGGGTGGATCACCTGAGGTCAGGAGTTCGAGGCCAGCCTGGCCAAGATGGTGAAACCCCGTCTCTACTAAAAATACAAAAAATTAGCCGGGGATGGAGGCAGGCGCCTGTAATCCCAGCTACTTGGGAGGCTGAGGCAGGAGAATTGCTTGGACCCAGGAGGCAGAGGTTGCAGTGAGCCGAGATCATGCCACTCACTGCATTCCAGCCTGGGTGACAGAGCGAGACTCCGTCTCAAAAAAAAAAAGAGGAATTCTCCCACAAAGAGGAGTTCCTTTGTAAGAATTGATGGCAGGTATATTCCCGAGAAACGGCATGGAATTTATGTTAAGTCAAACATGTTAAATGATACTACAGGGAAGGCTTTGCTCTGTAAGGCACCTTTGTGTCACATGACAACCTGGATGTGGAAGTTTCCTTTGAAATCATTAAAGTTTGCAGACAAAGAAAATATTGTGTTAGTGATTCCTTCAGTACAGCGAGTAATCACAACCCCTCTCCCTCTCCGTCTTCTTGTTAATGTGGATTTCCGTATTAATGTCATATACTAATGCCTGGAGCCATAGGGACCATCTGACTTAAAGCTCTCGTTTCACAGGAAAGGATATGAGGCTTGTAAATCCTGGAGTGGTAGGGAGGGGCTCAGATCAATGCCGAACCTTGCAGGACACTCTGCCCATGTTGGCTAAAAGTCAGGGGTGTGAATATTTACATTTTTGTTTGCCTTTCTCTCTCCAAACAGAAAACAGAAAATTAGTTTCTATCTCCATGTATATCCTAAAACACAATCACCTTTTAATGGAGTACCTTTTAATGAGCTCACAGTGATTTGCTTCATTTAAAGACACGGATGTGGGGAACGCTCATTCCTAGCAAGGCAAACTCCACTCAGACTTCCTGGAGATGGTGTTGCAGCCCTGTGGCCCCCACTTACCGACTCCTTATCTTGAACGATCAGCTGTATCCCCATCTCTGCTTTTATACAGAGTCTGCTTCCATTCAGAACCTGGTAAGTTCCGGTCTTGGCTGACGCTGGCTGAGGGGCGAGGGTGGGTGCAGGAACGGTGGAGACAGGCGGGGCTGTCCCGGTGGTATTCTGTGTGGCCGAAGTTGTGCCTGGGGCATGGGTGGGTTGGACGGGCTTCTGACCACCTGTGCTTTTGTGTGGCGTTGTGGGTAAAGTTGCTGGAAGGATGGTCTGGTTACTGGGTTGGGTGGGGTTCCTAGCTGTGTGGCTGACAGCTGATGAACCGGTTCCGGTTGTATGAGCCGGTGGGGTGACGGTGGCTGGCTGTGAATGAGGGGCTGAGCTGGGGCCGACCGTCGCTTCAGTAACTGGAGCAGCCGTGTGAGAGTTGTGGGGTGTGTCCTGGGTTGTGACCAGGGTGCGGATGACTGGGCTTGTGGTTACGGTGCTCTTTGCAGTTACCAGGGTGGTTGTTGGGGTTTTCATTGTGGACGCCATTTGAGAGGGGATGTGACTGTCCACTAGTCTTGCTGCTAAGGTTTGGGGAGGTGCTTGGTTAGCTGGCTGCAGGACAGGCTTTGCTGTGTGCTGTACTGTTGCTGCTGTAGTGGGCTGAGAATAATCTCTGGTTTCCGGAAACGCCTTTGCTCTCATTTGACTGCCATCCTGCAAAATTACTGAAAATCAGGAGACAAAAGGGTTAAAAACACCAACCCAGTTGCTTACAAGGTCCCTCTCCCATCCCCATCTTAATATTTGTTCATAAAAAAACCCTAACCACATATTTTAATAGTTGGGCAAAGTTTACGAGGGTGTAAGAATGAAGCAAACATCACCAGATCGTCTACCCCCGGCCGCGGTGGCCATGTTCTGGTTGTACCCACGTCTTCTACAGGGTGATGGCCGTCCCACGGACGTTATTCCGCACCCAGCCCCTTTGCCTGTGTGGGGTGTGGTACGAATACACACCAAAGCGATCGTGCTCAGCTAGATATCTAAGTGTCAATGCCTCTTCATCCTCCTCCTTCAACTGTGAGTCCAGACAGCTGACATAAAATACATTCCTGGGTAAACAGCTGCTGTGTGGCCTGATAGAGCTGGGCAGCATGAATAATGGCAATAAAGCTTTATAGAGTTACACGGTTTTCATAGAATCATATAATCCCAGGTTTGAAAAGGGTCTTAAAACTCCTCTAGTCCAAACCCTGATCTTTTTATTTTTCTTTTTCTGAAACAGAGTCTTGCTTTGTCACCCAGGCTGGAGTGCAGTGGTGCGATCTCAGCTCACTGCAACCTCTGCCTCCCAGGGTCAAGCGATTCTCTTGCTTCAGCCTCGTGAGTAGCTGGGATTACAGGTATGCGCCACCATGCCCAGCTAATTTTTGTATTTTTAGTAGAGACGGGTTTCACCATGTTGTCCAGGCTGATCGCAAACTCCTGATCTTGTGATCTGCCTGCCTCGGTCTCCCAAAGTGCTGGGATTACAGGTGTGAGCCACTGCGCCCGCCCTGAACCCTAATCTGATGTCTGAATAATCCCTACAGATCTTTGCCATGTGTTCATCCAATGGAGCCTTAAATGCTCCCAATGACAGGGGACTCATCTCTTCACAATATAGTCCTTTTCATTTAAAAAAAAAATCTTGTCACCTGTTGTTTTCTCAATACAGACCAATTCCTGTCATTTTCTTACTTAACTTTTGGAGTGGCCCAGTCTTTCTCAACCAAGAAAGCAAAGGCATGGCTGCTCTGATACTTCAGAAAGCTGCCCTTTGTGTTCTGGCTTCCATGGCGGCTCCTCAGGGCATCTTGTCCTCCTCACATCCGTGATTCTGCACTGCAGCCGCGTTAATTACAACTTGTAATTAGACATGGGGGTGGCATTCAGACATTTCACAATCAGCCTGGCCGGCATGTACCAGCCGAATATTTTCCCTGATGAAATGTTTGCTTCTTGGTTTATTCGTTGGTCGTGGATCTTTCCTCGTAGCTTCAGAGTACCCTGAAGGTGAGAGCTGTGTGTGCCGTTTTCACCACCAGTGCCTTGCAGAGACAGAGTTCAGTAAATATGGGTCGAACAAATAAATGACTGAATGTGCTAATTGTAGGCCTTTTAGGATTGTTGCAAGGCTCAAATGAGTTGATTTAAGTAAAACTCTTCATGGACCATTAAGCACACAGACAGCGTCTACTGCTGTCACAGATTCTCTCCAGAGCCTGTCCATGAGGGCAGAAGGCCTCTGGTTCTTTTCCAACTAGAATAGGTCTATCCTTGCCTCCTTCCAGGCACATATGGATCCAGAAAAGTGAACAAAACATAGATGATGGGCTGGGCACGGTGGCTCACATCCCAGCACTCTGGGAAGCCAAGGGGCCGATCACCTGAGGTCAGGAGCTCGAGACCAGCCTGGCTGACATGGTGAAACCCCGTCTGTACTAAAAATACAAAAATTAGCTAGGCTTGGTGATGTGCACCTATAATTCTAGCTACTCAGGAGGCTGAGGAAGGAGAATGGCTTGAACCCAGGAGGCAGAAGTTGCAGTGAGCTGAGATTGTGCCATTGTATTCCAGCCTGGCCAACAAGAGCAAAACTCCATCTCAAAACAACAACAGCGAAAACAGATGATGTCTTTAGGAGTCTATGTTCAGGCACGCTGAGAGATGGCTGTGTCCCTTCAATTTTGTGGTTTCTCTGTGTTTACCCACAGACACTCAAGAGAGCTGGAGCTGTCCTATGCTGGGCTGTGACTTGGGAAAACACAGAGTAAGGGAAAGGAGATCACGCCATGATAGTATTTACAAAGTCCCAAAGTTCATATCCAGTCAAAATAATTCGTACCTGCCTTTTCTATCTCCCTCCTCCATTCAATACATTTGAAGTGGTTACTTTTCTCATATTAATAACAATAAAAATTCTAAGTTACTGGACGATTACTACATGGAAGGCCTCAGGCCACGGGTCACCTTTTACCAAGTTCTCCCAAAAACCCTTTGGTGGGTACCACTCCATCCATCTTTCAAATGAGGAAACTGGGGCTTGGAGGATTTCAGCCATTTGACCTTCATGACACAACTAGTCGAAGCTGGGGCTGAGACTTGGGCACTTGTGCATCTGCGTCAAAGCTTGTCCTTGGAGGGATGGTGGAGGTGGAGTGTCTCAGGGAAGAATGGTGAGAGAAGACGCAGAAGCAGAGGGGAGAGGAGGAGGAGGGTGCCCTGCAGTGACCCCAATTCACAAAAACCGCATAATGATGATCCTTGGTGAGGATCTCAAAAGTTTATGGGCTGAAACAGGGATTCTTTTCCAGAAGAGGTCTAGCTTTAAGCCCAGTAGTAAAACCCACAAATTACTTCTGTACAGCTGGTTTGCAAAATAGGAAAGACAAAAGCATCTGTTCACGTTGCCTTAAAAACCTTTTAAAAAGACCAATTGTTATTAGCGACATGAAGTTATTTGAGATCATTATTTAAGAGTCTCTTCTTGAATCTAAAGTATTCATTTGGACAAGTTAAATGCATGATACTTGAGAGTTGGAGGTTTGATGGGCTATAGGCTCACTTTGCAAAGTTTTGTGAAATCCCTACATGTAGAACCTTTATACGAATGTCGCAGAGCTTGGAGAAAAATTTTTCACTTCGAGATTATAATGGAGGTTGAGCGTTGATGAAGATTTATTTGAGCCATTCATTGGGGCAAAACCTGCATTGCTGGTTCTTGTGTCAAACACCAAGAGTCTCTTTAGGTTCATACTATTACTATGGAGAAAGAGAATTCACTCTCAAATGTGTCTGCCAGGACTAACTCGTGGTGAAAAATAAAGATGGCTACAGAGAACTCTAGGAGACTAGAAATCACTAGCCAGTCGTTCTCTTAGGGAAGCGATCATATCACTGCTAACATCCTACTGTGTATGGCTGGTATTTATAAGCAATAGAGAATCTTCTCAACTGAGTACAATTTCCTAAACTGAGTAGTGCACCCTTTGAAAAAAAAAAGTCAGGTCGGGCGCGGTGGCTCACGCCTGTAATCCCAGCACTTGGGGAGGCCGAGGCGGGTGGATCACGAGGTCAAGAGATCGAGATCATCCTGGTCAACATGGTGAAACCCCGTCTCTACTAAAAATACAAAAAATCAGCTGGGCATGGTGGCGCGTGCCTGTAGTCCCAGCTACTCGGGAG